ATGAATGAAATAATTATGTAAAGAAATGAACATTCAAGTAATTTTGCAAAAAACATTCTAATAAATATTTTAGTCTAGTCATGAAGTTCATTTTCTCTGAACAACTTTTCCCTTTCTTAGTTTCTGAGTCAGCCAAGAATGATGCTAACTAACATCAACAAGCAAAGATCTTGTTCTAATAAAGAAACAAATGCTTATGCATCATTTTCTGAAAGGTCAAAGAACAATGAGAGTCTAAGGCACAACTTCTCAGCATCAAGTCTGAATTAAAATAATTTCTGTCTGTGAAAACATTTTAAACAGCTACTTTATTTTTTGATTAGTAAGTTAACAAAAAGCAGCAAACAAAAGTATTAGCTGTGTTTTGAGTTAGAGAGAACTCCCACATCCTTAGTGATTTTTCCACAACTCCAGTAGCCAAACATAGTTAAATAAAATTCAAGAAATTAAGTGATACTCTAGAATCATAAATACAAAGAACATTTCCTTAAAAAATCTCTTAAGCTTAAGAATCACTTTCATAGCTAGTGTTCTAATCTTTTTAAACCTTCACAAATAGGATAAGAAAAAAATCAACCCTCTCCCAGAAAACTGCATTCAAATATAATTTTGCATATTTTATGCCTGAAATTCACGTAATAAGGGGTCATTAGCGAGTAATTAATTTTGACATTGAGAATGTGAAAGGGAAAACTTCCTTACAAATGATTTAAAAGCATCAGTGTCTCAGTTTATATAGTAAGTTTATAGTTTAAAAAGTACTTTCACGCTTCTAAGCTCATTAGATGAAAACTCTGACAGTAGGGGCCAGCAGGTGGCATACTGGTTGAGGCACTGGAGTTGTACATGGTCGACAGCTGTTCGAGTCCCAGACCCAGTGACTTGAAACGCACGCTGGATGCATGTGCATGTGTGCCCAAAATCCTGAGAGGAAACTGGAGGAGAAAGGATTGTGGCATAGTCGTCCCAACCCCCCCGAGGCGGGGGGTGGGGGGCACAGGATGATTTCTTGCTTTCTGTCTCTTCAGTGAGTGTACACATCCTATGGCAAAAAGTTGTAAAAAAAAAAAAAAATCTCTGATAGTAAACTGTGAGACAGGACTGGCCAGTTATTTTCCTGTTTTCCAACTGAGGAAACCTGAGGCACAGATTTAAATGGCTTACAGAGAATTTGGTAATTAGAGGTGATAATAAAATGTAACTATTTAACTCCTTATCCAGAACTTTATTGCTGCTAGAAAGAAAAACACTATAATGTTTGTTCCTACCTGACAAAAAAATCAGAGATGAGCTGGTTTTGGAAATTGTACGTATAAAATGTACTAGCTTCACCAATAAAATGCCTCTTTTCTTCTTTTCTTCATATTGTTGTAAAGAAAAATAATTTCCCCCACCCTGTTTTACTGTATTTAATGAGCATCTTCTGTGTAGTTTCATACGCCAAAGCTTTAGTCACAATATAGCCCAGAGATAACCTTTTCTTCATCAACCAAAATCAGGCACATATACATTTATTACAGCGTTACTCTATTATAGAGGATTAGGTTATAATACATGATGTCCTTGACCACTACTAAAATGAAAAAGACAGCTTCTCTTGCATTTCATGACCACCTGCTTCTATGGTTCTTTCTTTGGCTTGATAGTTACTCCAGCTCCCCCTTCAGGGTCAGCTGTATATTTCTTCTGCTGTATATTACTTCAGCGTCCACAAATCCCACTCCATCTACTAACTGCTGCTTCTTACTGCCATGTGGACTGGAAAACCAGAAAATTACGACTTCAGAGACCTCTGTTTAGTAAAGTATAACTTTAATTCACACTTTCTTGAACAGTCAGTAGTCTCTGTCTTTTCTTTCTAATGTTCAATAATACCTGGGTAAAAAAGTAACAGATCTCCCATTTATATAAGTTGTTATGAGAAGATCTGATTTTTTTTTGCATAATTATTCTCTTAAAAAGTCATCTCTGGCTCCTAACACAACAATATTACAACAGGATCCTATTTCATGTTTACAGAATAGTATCTCAAACATTACATTTAAAATAATTTTCTTGTGAGGATAAAGAAATTCAGAAAAAAGTAAAAAGAATAGTAAGTAAACAAACCTCTTCACTCTGGCTTTATTCTTAGACTCTTGATTCTTTATAATCTGATAACTGATACAAAAAATATGCTAAAATAACAGAGTAATGAATTGTGTAGGAATATGTATCATTATAAATTGAGTAGGAAATACATTTAAGTGGCCCAAAAGAAAAATGACTTTACTAGGCCAGGAAACATAGTATATTCTGTCTTTATAACCTGACATATGTTTAACTATTATCAAGTTTCATTCACAATGATACACTACAATATCTCTAGTTTATTTCTACATATAATATTTTCTTCTACTTTAATTTTACAGCATTGACTTAGAAATGTTAAACAAGAACAAGCTACATTTGCACAGCATAACGGCTGCTGGGTAACAGTAACACAGCACTAGTGAGCATTTACCATGTGCCAGACACTGTTCTAAGCATGGACGTGTATTCATTCCCCTAATCCTCACAACGATCTTAGGAGATAGATACTACTATCTCATTTTAAGATGAGGGGGCTAAGGCTTAAAGAAGGAAAGCTGTCTTAAAAAAGTAAGTAGCTTTCCCAGAGTCATGACAGTAGAGCCCACACACTAACAAAGGTATGTGACCCCATGTCCTTGAACTCTTACAGATCACCTCCAATTCTAGAGTATTTTGTTTTAGTACTTTAAAGTACATTTCCTAAATTCCATTCGTCCACACTACTACCACCTACTTTAAAAATAAAGCAAAATCAAGTTGTTGAAGAACTCATCAAACAATTCAATAGGATAAAACCTATGTTTAGGCATATGAGTGGTCCAGCAATCATGTGTCTGTTGATATGCTTCCAGAGTATGATATATAAAGCAGAACAGAAAGGCCCCAGAAATTTCTCCTAACTGACAGAACCATAGCAAGATACGCTATTACAAACAAATATCTGTAAAAGTATTTGAGATTCTATGTAACTTTTAGATAATCGGAACCAAGATAAATCCCCTTCCACTACCTCCAATTTTCCAAAAGGTCCAAGTAAACAACAAAACTCCCACACATAGCTGTGATGAAAACAACAATAAATATAAACCCCAAAACACTTGATTTAATTTTTGCTCTAAATTTTTATTCTAAATGAACTCAAATAAAATTAGCCCCTGTAATGCTTATCTTTGGCAAAAAAAAAAAAAAGTTTTCAGTTGTAATGCTTATCTTTGGCAAAAAAAAAAAACTTTTTCAACAATCCACAGACCATTGCATTTCTTCCATTGGGTGGGAAATTTTTAGTTCATTAATTATTTCTTATTAAATTCAATGGGGTCAGAAAAAAGAATACAAACAAAATAAAACAAAAGGTGAAACCTAGAAAACTGAGGGTTTACTATATATTAGTCAAAGAACTATACTGAAAAGAGAGGAATATCTTCCATGTTAAGTTTTCCTAGAAAATAGAACACCCCACATTCCCTGTAAAAAGGAAATGACATTTTAAATACAAAAACTAGATTGTAGCTCTTGTACATACTTTTTCAGTATTTACATTGCAACAATATTTAGAACAGCATGTTTTCTGTAACTCTTCGTGTTCACTCTTAACATTTATTCTGATAATAATGTTAAAAAATAAGCTATATCTTAAAATCCAATAGGTTTCTTATATATAGTGAACATATTTGATATGAATTGTGTAGAAATCCCTGAAAACATTCTGAATCTTTTCTTTTAAAAATGATATCCAGGTCAAAGACTTGAGAGAATTTAAGTACTATATGGTCACCAAATGATTACAACCACTTCAGATATAATTCTCATATTTGTGCCTGGTTAATAGACTACTTTCTTCCTTGGGTACTGATGATCCCTTTCTTTATATTCTCATTAGAAATTAATCTTTGTTAAAACTTTACTAAAAATAAAATAATTACCATAATGTAGACTTTTAAAATATTCTAGATAAAATTAAAATTCTTTGGGAGAAAAAAGCACATTTGTATGTTTCAAAAATCCAACCTAAGAGATTGAACATTAAATAAATAAAGGAAATGTAGGTAGAGCCTAAAAAAGCTACTGTGCTAATAACAGAAGACCTAATTCTTCTGATTCTCTTCAAGAAGTAGATTCCCGAATAACCAGAACAGAATTAACAAACTACCCTGGGCAGGAGAGAAGAGCAAGAAATGACTCTGAGATAAACAAAGAGGCCAACACACACTGAACATAAAACCATCTATGCCATGTTGCTCAATCCCCCACAAGTCTGAAATAAGTACGCCAACCTTCAACCAAACACCAACACTGTTGTCAAAGTAGGTGGGAGGAGAGGCAGCACACACACTTTAGTGGATACAAAATGCCAATATAAACCACAAACCTCAATCTAGTAGACTTCAAGAAAAATGTGAAGTTACAGAAAAAAAAAAAAGAAAGAAAATTTTAAATGTCTGAAACTTGAATAAGAAGTAAAACCAAAAAACATACAGTAAAGAGTCACAGTTTTCAAACCAGAGCTAAGATAATATTGGAAAAAATCTTATGTAATGGGTTGAGAGATCCAATTCTCAAAGTTCGGTGACACACGCTGTGTAAGGGATGACTGAAAACGGTCCAGTGCCCTCATATAATTCCACATTTTGTCGCTGCTATTGTAACACAAAGGAAGGGAGTTAACTTTCGTTATTTTCGGCAAAACATCAACAGGTGAACATCATCAAGAACAAATTGATACATCCAAATAATACAACTGAAAAACTATTTTCTTGGTGTTCATACTAAATTCTTTTTTAAGCTAATCACTTCCTTCATGGAAGAAAGCTTATTTTAATAACAGAGTGGAGTGGAGAATATTAACAGTATATTGTGTAAGGCTACACTAGTTAGTAGTACCCAAAATCGCAGACTTTTGGGGAAACCTCTTCTCGTAGCTCACTTACCTCCACTGACTGCATCTTGCTCTTCCCCTTCAGGAAACGCAACCTGGCTTGGCAAGCTATTCCTAGACCGAGTAACGGTCTCTAACTGGGAAGCCCGTCCCAGTAGAGAGAGCTCATCTAGCACCTCTCCCTCTTTGGCCTCGAGGTCTGATTTGGAAGTGGTTAAGGGTTTTATGCTTTCAGGGGCCATCAGCCTGCTGCAGTCACTCAGACAGGCCACCGTGCCGCTGTCCAGGCTCAACACTCGGGCGCGCGTCTTGCCACTGTTTGTGCTGGAAGTCCGCCGTGTGGCCCGCTTTTTGCCAGTTCCTTCAGGACCCAAATGAGCTCTGTGTGTGTGATCTGAGTCTGTGCCCCTGTCTTTGTGAGTGTGTCTGGTCTTTAGAGCAGTGTACTTGCCGTCGGGAGACTGACACGAATGAGAAGTAGTGCTAGAGGAGCTATCGCTACTGAACTGGTGAGCAGACTGAACGCTTGAGGCTCGACTCAAGTCACTTGGGTCACTGGAGTCCTCGTCGTGACAAAATATAGCACTGTGTGGTTTGGTACCAGAAACACCTCGAAAGGAAACGTAATCCCTGTGCCGACTTGCATCAAAACTGCTGGCCCGTTTTTTCCCTGTCCGTCTCCTGCCTGACTTGTGTGCAGAGGCTGTCCGGTGGATTAAGCTGGAGGACTTAGGTCGTACATCCCCGCCCTTCTGCTTCCCGCCAACGTCTTTACAAACTTTTGAATCTGCTGAAATGGCTGATTTATCGTTCTGCTCTTCTTTGTTTTCTACAGTTTTCCCAAGTGGTCTGTCCTCTTGGGAAGTAACTTCGTTGGCATGAGGGTTTTTATTGGCTTCTTCAGATGCGGAGGTACTGAGGCCTCTCTGATTGTGCATCTCATCAGAGGTGTTGGAATCCTTGGCCTCATGAGCCACACTGTTCAGACTCACTTCCATGGCAGTCTTTTCAGTGCTCGCCCTCTTGTCACTGGCACAGCTACTTTTCTCCTCCGGGTCGGCAGGGCACTCTTTTTTCTTACCGCCTTTCTTCCCTACTTTAGGAGATTCCTCGTGCTCCGACAAGATGCTCTCTATGTGTGTGGAGCTGGTCTGCTCACTTTTGTAGCTGCTGACGGTACTGTTGGTGTCACGGTCTGTCCCGCTGCAGTAGCTCTCCGTAGACCCACTACTCCGAGTGCTCAAGCTCCTCAAGCTGTCGATGCTTTTGTCGGCTTTCAAAGGTTTGCTCTTCCCGTTTTTTGTGGGTGGCTGAGGATGACTGTGTTTTAGGTCACTAGCAAGCTGAAATTCCCCTGATAAACAAGAATTTTCCACTAAGGATTCTTTGGATCCAGAATGAGGTTTGGAAGATTCTAACTCACTAACTGGATCTAAGCCACGTCTTTGCTGATAAAGAGGGAAGTCGTTCAGTGAAGTATCTGGGAAAGCCACAGCAGAGCTCGAAGTCCGGGGTACGCCTCGTGGCCGGTGGTCTTTCCTATAAGAGTGTGAATGTAAAGGTACGAGAGAAGCTACTTCTGTATCACAGGCGCTGGACAGAGACTGATCGACGTGGTGGTGGTGGCTGTGACTTGGCAGGCTTACTTTGTCACTGAAGTCCCTTGGTAAGTCCTGTCCACAAGAGGATAAGGAAGGCTGAATGGAGATGAAGGAGTCATTGGAGACCAGACGGAAGAGTTTCCGATCAGTTGCCAAATCTGTTTCAAACACATATTTGGAAATGTTAGCACAAATGTATGATTTGCTTTTCTACTATTTAACAATGGAAAGAATTCAGGGCATACAGTAAACCAAGAATAAACAATTTCTCAAGTAGTTCACTAAATAACAGTTGACCAGTCATTCCACAGAGCTGGTTTCCGTTTCACAGCTGCACAAAGAAAGCATTCTACTTCTGGAATAAACAGAACTTCCAAATCTTTGAGTTCTTCAACCAGCTCAAAGATGTTCTGTAGAGGACCAACAATAAAATAAGAGGCAGCAGAAGATTACTTTTAAAAAACTGACCTAGAAGAGAAGAGGGGATTGCAGTGTGGCCATTCCACCAGGGATGATTTCTCACTTTTCCTCTCTCTGTATCTCCCTCATGAGTGCATGTACCCCATGGCAAAAGCCAAAAAATAAGAAAAGAAAAAGGGAAAAAAAGGACCTAGAGTCCCATGCAAGCTCAGTATTTAACTTACTAACTATAGATAACTCTGGATAACCTTTCTGAGCCTCTGCTTCTTCATCTGTAAAATATGATTATCAACCTCACTGATTAGCAAGACAAGGAATAATTGAGTGTTGAGTGAATAACATATTGTTTAGTAAAAAGTCATCACAATTAATGGTAGCTATCATTTTACTTCACTAACAGAATATGAAATCCTTTTGAAAATCTAATATGATTGTTTTATGAACAAAACAACAAAAAAAACTAGAGTAATCAGAAACAGGAAAAAAAAATTAAAAGGCTGACCAATGCCCAAACAAGATCTGATATAATGATGTAAGACATCTTGTTGTTCTTATAAGGCAGAATATTCTATCTCCCCTTTCATCGACAGTGCAATCACAAAATGTCTCAGGAAAAAAATACAAAAATACATATCCATCTGTATCTATCAGACTATTCCTTTAATCCTTGATGTAGGGCAGTGGTTAGTGACTAGAGTTACCATACACCATGTATATTAATATAAATATATTAAAATACAAATTCACCTACATACCTACCTACGTTATAATTCATCTTGGAATATAGCTTAACAACCAAACTAAACAAAAACTGATTTTTTTAAATGCATTTTGACAGACAAGGATGGTTGAATCTGTTGTTAGTTCGAAAAGAAAAGAGATTATTGTCATATTTGTCATAATTGCACAGACAAAATATTATAACAAATTATATAGTAAGTCAGACTCTTCTCAGTAGACTCTCAATGATAAAAGAAGACATTTCCCCCTAAGATTAAAGTAAGAATGGGTCATTAGAAATGTTTATGTACTTTAAAAAAAAATCTAAATCTACTAGTTTCGAATAATTAAAAACAGAGATAGCCTCTAGAATGTACCATATGAATTGTTATTTATAAATTATCTATTGGGCCTTAGCTTAAGGTTTAAAGTTTTCAAGATAAGTAAAACCCATGTTCTTAATCATCTGCCCAAAATAGCTGCTACTGTACTTAGGTTCCTATCTCTGTAAACAGCAAAATTTAAAAGTTAACACCATATTTATTTTTTTGCACAATTAAACTATATGTTACATCTAGAAACTCTCAATAAAGATCTATTAAGCAATTGTGGAATGGTGTGATAGTCATATTTCATGGATCGAATTCTATAGAATAAAAACTTATCAACTCTGACCATGTAGCTCAAAATCACTGAATCTAACAACGTATATCAAAGACCTTCCTAAAAAAATGCTAATAATCAAATAATCTCCCTTCCAAAACATTAGTAAGCCAGAAATTTAAGTTTTTAATTTTAAAACAAATTTATTTTAATGTATGTTCTTTTTTTCCAATGGTGTGTAACAAATATACCATAAAGTGTTTACTTTTTTCAGGAAGAATTTTAGGTTTTAGAAAAATGTTCAGGTAAATATGCTTTGTTAGACATTCTTCTGTACTGGTACCAATATTTTCAAAGATTATATTGCAGTTAAGAAGTTCAAATCAACACAAAGAGTACTATTCTTCATCTAATTAAATTATTTTCAGTGCTTGTCATTAGTGGTGTTCAGGAAAACAAAGGCATGCTCACACACTGCTTATGGTGGGATCAACTGGTACAACCTTCTGTAAAGCAACCTGGCAACACAACCAAAAGTGTTGAAAAAGTATTCTTATCCTTGGATTGAAAACATATTTCTAAAAGTTGTTCTTAATGAATAAAATCAAGTATGCATATAAGGTTTAATCACAAAGTTGTTCATCTCAGGTTACTATAGGAGTCCTTAAACACAACAAGAATGACAATGTCCAGTGAAAATAATCAAATAAATTATATAGTCTATTAATAATATCCTAGACAGTAAAAACATTTACATGGTATATGGAATAATATGAGAAAATATCCAAGTGAAAATACTATATAAAAAACATGGTTCAGTTCTGTAATTTAAAAAGAATGCTAAGGGGCCAGCAGGTGGCATGGTGGTTAAGGCGCTAGACTCCCACATGGCCAACCACCATTTTAGTCCCAGACCTGGTAGCTTGCTTTTTCACTTTCTCTCTCTCTCACAAGTACATGTACTCTCTCTTTCTGTTTCTCTCTGGTGAGTGCCAATTGCCCTGTAGCAAAATTCAAAACAACAATAATACACAAAATTAAATAATTCTTTAAAACTAAATAAATCTTAAAAAAAGAATGCTAGGGTACATTTGAGTATGTTTGTATGACTGTGAAAAGTTATATACATCTTTAACCATAAAAAGTAATAAAAGAGACCAACAGTTGGCGTAATGGCTATTTTGCTGGACTCCTATATAGTCAACTGCTATTTGAGTCCCAGATCTGGTGGCTTAAACTCACAATGGGCGCGTGTCTATGCGTGCCCAAGATTCTGAGACGAGAATAGAGGAAAAGGGATTGCAGCATGGCCATCCCCCCTGGGGGTTGATTTCTCACTTTCTGTCTCTCTCTGTCTTGCTGGCAAGCACACGCGCCCTATATCAAAAACCTCTCCAAAGGGGGGAGGGTAATAAAGTCCAGATACACGCCATAACATGGTAAGAGAAAGAAGCCATACACCTAACATATAATTCCATTTCTATGAAATGTCTAGAGTAGGCAAATGCATAGAGATGGAAAATAGACCAGTGATTGTCAGCAGCTGGGAGAAAGAAGAAATGGGGAGCCAATGGGTACAGGTTTCTTTTTTAGGGTGATAAAAACGTTCTGGAATTAGGCAGTGGTAGTGGATGCAAAGCATTATGGATATACTAAAAAACCACTGAATTGAACGCTATACAAGGGTAATCTTTATATTATGTAAATTATATTAAAATTAAAGAAAAAAGTGACATACCAAAAACAATTTCTAATTATTTTCTTCTTCGTACTTAACTATACTTTCTGAAGTTAATATACATTACTTTTATAAACAGAAATCATATTTTTCTCCTATTTCCTGGATCATCCCCATCAATTATAAAAACATGGTATTAGTTTTCTTATAATATCTTACAAAATCCAAATCCCTCCCTTATCCTTACTTCCTCTGCTAGCTATCAGCTTAGGACTTTGCTCCCTTGACAAAAATTCACTGAAAAAGGGTCAGCAGGTGGCGTGGTGGTTAGGGCACTGGATCCCTCATGGCCAACTCTGCGGTTTGAGTCCCAGACCTAGCGGCCTGGAAAAAAAAAAAAAAACAAAAAAAACTGCTGGGGCCATGTGCATGCATGCCCAAAATCTTGGAAGGAAAATGGAGGAGAAGGGATTGCAGTATGCCATCCACCCTGGGAGGTGTTTCTCACTTTCCCTGCTCGCTCGTTCTCTCCTTCTCTTGTGAGTGCACATGTCCTATAGCAAAGACTTTCACTGAAAGCGCAGCATGTGTTACTATCTTCGACTCTTCTTCAATTCACTCTTGAGCAGACTCTAATCCCACTTCATTAAAACTGTGCTTAACACGGTCACCAGCTCTTGACACTGTTAAATCCAATGGCTAAACCTCAGTCTTCCTATCACTTGATCTATGAGCACATTTGACCAAGCTGGCCAATCCATTCTAGAAGTGCCGGACTGTATATAATTGTCTCCATTTTCCTTCTTTATGACCAGCTGTTTCTAGTCAGTCTCCTGGACTTGGCATGGTGTAGGGCTTAGTCCTTGGAGTGTTTCATTTTTCTCTCTACAGTCACTCTTTTGTAGATATCCAGTTTTCTGGCCCTATGATAAACCAAAATTTAAAAAATACACATAGCTAGTTCCTCCATTTTCTACCCAATCCCTCTATCATATGAGAATGGTTTAAAGTTCTGAACCTAGACAGGAAAGACAAAAGTGAGAAGAGCAGGGAAACTGCAGATATCCTCTTCTTAGAAGTAGAAAAGTAGAGGATATACCCCCACATTCTCAATTTTCTTTTAATCATCCTGAATCATATGACAAAAGAAGTCCAATTTATCAACAAACTGCTAACTAACTAAAGGTCATAGTTCTGTAAATCCAAACCAGCCAAGGAAACGGAGGAACCCAAACATTTAAACTAGAATGAATGATTGCCACTAGGTGGTGCCAAACCACAGCCAAGACCAAGAAGGTCCGGGAGAGCCCAAGAATCACGCAGGCTTGCCTGGTGCATTTACAAATTTCTTAATAACTCAATCCCATATCTGACTGATTTCTTTTTCTTTTCTATTTATACACTGACTTCTTCTAAATTTAAAATCCCAAACCAGACCTCTGATCTGAAATCCTGACCTCTCCCTGTTTTCTTATTGCCACTTAGAAGTCTAACAGCATCTCACATAACTGAACTCCCTATCTTACTCCCCCTCCTAATCTCTCCAGCCCTGAATCTGTCCCTCCATAGTCTGCCCTTTCAGTTAATAGGTACTGTGAGCCTCCTTGATGTTTACTCCAAAGCCTTAGTGCATGGTTACTATGTCTGTCATCTACTCTATCCAAATCTATCAATTTATCCTTTTATTAATATCTTTTTCTTAAAGAGGTTTTTGCCTTAGAGTGCATGCGCTTACTG